ATAACTGAGGAAGTGTTGGTCGTTGTGTAGTCGTGGTGAGTGTGAAGGGAGGGAGTGTGGTAGGCGGGGTGGTGGTTGGTGGTGGTGGTTGGCCACGGCCGGCACCGACCAGTGTCTGGTGCGGGGCGGCACCTCTCGCGCCACACTCCTGACGATGCGGATGTCCAAGTCCCGATGTCCAGCGAAGGAGTTAGTGACGGTGGAGGAGATGTGGAGTGTTGGGTGTTGTTGTGGCTCACTGAAGGAGCGCACCAGCTGTCGGCCCTCCCCCTCACCCGCCATTGTTGGCTCGTCCTCAGACGAGGAACAAGACGATGACGCCGACGACATGGTCGACAGGGCCGACGAGGACGCTGGTGAGGGCGGGGGTGTGGGGAAAATATGGGCGGACACACACCCCCCACACCCACACGCCCGGGAGCCCTCACAGATGCGACGGGCGTCACTCGGGGGGGCGGGTGTGGTGGTGTTGGTGGAAGCGTCATAGTTATAACACATGGGCATGTAAGGCTTGAGGGTGACGATGGTGCCGCCAGCATCATCACCTGACCCCTCACACCCCGCCACACCCGTCACCCCCGACCCTCCTCCTGGCTTGCGGTCCTTTTTACGTCGTTTGCGAGGCTTGATGATCCGCGGCAGACAGTTCTCAGCCTGGCCAGTGCTGCCTTCGTCCGACGTGACGGAGACGGCGTCGCTGGCGGCGGGTGGTGAGCCGTCACCGTCTGTACCAGTGGTGGCAGTGTTTGAGGAACGGGAGGAGGGCGATCCACGCTGAGGGCCTCGGCTGGGCAGAATAAGCGGGGCGCCCTGAGTGTGTAGTGCCAGCCGAGCCAGAGGTAGACGCTCCACTTCGTCGCCTTCGTCAGTAGCAGCAGTGGACACATCCTGGCGTTGGTGACGGAGATCCCTTGCTAGAGGCGACTCGTTGTCTTTATGGTAGCGGTGGTAATGGTGGTGGTGTGGTGGGGAACTATGGCCCCGCTGTTGGTGATGGTGGTGGGGGCGTCCTTGGTGGCCCCTACCAGGACCACGACGCTGAGGCAGAAAGGAAAACAAAGGCATCCCCGCTAGAGCTGAGCCGCCCTCCATCATGTAGCTCGGAGTGGGGGAGTCGTGCTGCTGTTGCTGGTTAGTGTCCTGAGGGAGTCTGCGTCCCCTGGAGTGGCCCCGTCCCCCACGGGGCTTGGAGACAATAAGGCAGGAGCCCCGGTATCTGTCCACGTCGTGCATGGCGCCGCTGCTTCACACACCTGAGATCCTTCAATATCACAGTCGGTCACGCTGGCCAACACCCGCGGTGCTCACATGTGCACCCAATATTTATCTCCTCTTCTCACACACAACAAACTCACACTTTATCCAAATACATTTTTCTCTCATCAACAAAAGCCAAATCAAGTGTAAACAAACAAAACCAACACGAAAAACTATATGTAACATTAATTTCTAAGTATTTATATATAGTATACTCTTATAAAACCTAAACACTGGCTAATGTGTATCTCGGTATGGCACGGAGGTGCCAACCAACTGTCACTCGGGAGACCCTGTCATGGTGACCGCGGGTCGAGTATGATCACGTGGGAAGCGAGGTGGTGGACGGAGCGTGCAACGTCCTGCCTTACGATCAGCTCAAGGCACACTGACTGAGGCTCCCGCGCGGCGCACACTTCCTCTTTCACAACCTACTAAACTCGGCCACCGCGCGCCGCTCCATGCCACACGCCACTACAATCTCTCTCCATCACCCACTTCAACTATTCACGCTCCCATACACCACAATGATCACAACACACATAGAGTCACCAAAAGTATATTTAACATTTCCTCACAACATAGAGACAATCTTAAGTACGAATTTTATATTAATCTACGTATTATATGTACGTAGTATGTCATGTCTTTAAGTACGGTCAGGTCGCACAAGGGTTATCAGTGCCACCAAAAACTTCAGCACAACACAACGACACAAACAAACAGACTCAAGATAAGTTTAAATCTTCACAAAATAATTCACGAGTTTATTTAGCATCAGATCTTTTGAATCCTTCACAATTATCAACAAAAAAGTGCGAGGTGGCAACTGTGTGAGCCAGTGTCCCGGGGGCGTACACAAACACGAGCGCCTGCGTAATGTTGCTCCGCCATAACACACACACACACAAACTATATTTTATCTAATATCACAAATTTTTTCTTCAAACATTAAGACATAACACCAACCTATTATTCCTATGACCAATACACGGACTCTCTCTCTTCGTTACCATCACTCCATTACACTAGATACTTGTGAAATAATAGTAGCAATAATAAGTTAATACACACTAAGTCACCTTTGTTGTGTATACTGTCACATTAAGTCACAATAATAAAATAATAAAAATAATAATAAATAAAAAAGAAGGCGCTTAAACACCTTTTGAATTAATCAATGACGCAATCACCAGACAAAGAACAACTTGAAGATACAAAAAAAAAGATAAACCAAATCTTTCACTTGCGTATTCTGTCATGAACTGTCGGGAAACATTAATGAGATGTGACAAAACACTAAATTATCAAGACCACGAAATCTGACTGGAAGCTTGCCCATCTCCTTATCTGCCCCCTGGAAACAGACTGCCAGACACCCATGTACCTACCTGAAGTATTGCCACTCATCCCATTATGCAGCCTTACTGTGAAGTACTTTTAAATAAAATATGAGGATAATGGGATATACTGTACTGTAGTGTACTAGTGGTTTCTGATCATTTGCCATCTACAATTTAGAGTGGATTGGGTGCATAAATGGTGGACAAGGTAAACAGGCAATTTAATAGGAAAGTTGTAATTTGGGAACCAGCACTGACAACTGAGGCGTCTCTAACATTTAATGCAAATCACAAATCTGCTTCGCCTTCCAATTCGTTTTGTGTTTATATAGTCATTGCCGGCAGAGATGAATGTGCTGACTCACAAATGTAAGTGAAGAAAATGTAATGAGAACTTCGGGTATATAGTACAGGAGACACTTTGACCCAAGTGTCAGGAAAGCTCCGCCTGAGAAATTCACTTTTCACCGTCAACTCATTTGTTAGCTGCAAAAATTCTTCCTGAAATTTTCTGTGAATGCTCTCCACTTGAACCACTCCACACATGAATGGGCCTCACGTGATGGCCATTTGAATGGTCTCAGTGTTAATCTCCGGGAAATACCACTAACATTCACTCTCGAGTTCACCGAGATCCTCCACAATGTCCGTTTTCAACTCTTGGTCGATTGATTTGTCTCCCAGGGTTTCACTCAATCTATGGAGTGCTGAGATGTTTCCTAAATCCACCTTTCATCCCCAAAGAATGCCCTAATGTGATCACTGTGGCTTGATGTTCACAATATTCAATACTTGAACAGTGTCAACTCATTAAACTAGTTACACCCTGAAGTTTGGTGTTCTCATAACAAGCAAGAGGTCCTCCTTCCCTGGTCGTCAAGAAGTCTCTCCAATTCATCTCATAGCTCCACCTCCTTCTGCTTTGCATGTACAGTATATTAACAACTATATAAGGTAAAGAACAAAAAAGTTAAATTATTTGTACACAGCAGAAGTAGCCAAAGTTTTATACTGCGCAGTGTAAAGGAAATTCTTTTAAATACAGCAAAGTAATTCTCAAAATAATTTATCTCAGACATCTGCATTTATACCAGCACCTCTCTGAATACCAAAATGAAGAAAGCAGTCAGGATACAGCTTAGTGTATACAGAATACAGTACTGTATATTTATTCTAACATCTGGTAGGTTATTATACTGAACAAATACAAGATAATGACGACGATGATTCACTAATATATTTTGTATAAATACAATTGTGCAGGAGAGGACAATAGCAAGCGAGTATTACATAAGGTCACTGGTGATAAAGCACATCTAAGTGTCAAGGACAAACTACAGTTCAGTAAATTGTTGGGTTACAGATTTATACTGTACAGTATTTAAATATTTTAACATCTGGTGAGTTTATATTGGAAATAGATATGTATACACTTTACTCATACAAGAAAAGTGCTGTGGGGAATATTAGTATGCATACATTATATACAGTACTGTACTGCAAGCTGAGTGGTGCACCTGTATACAAACAAGCCCAAACAGTATGTAACACACACTGTACAGAGAGTCTTGGTTATTACAAATTTGCATATTACAGTTTCAGTTTATTGCAATTTAATTTTTAAGAACAAAATATTAGATAACTCATCATCGCCACCATACTGTATTATGTTTATTTTCCATGTTTGCATAGGTTAGCCTTGATTATGGTACCTGACAACAACTATTCATGCTGAACGGTCTCCTGCAGCCTATCTCATCAGGTTCTTAACTTTAATGCCATTCTTACAACCTCTCCCATGTCATTCCTGGCCTCCCCCTGCCTATCCTCCCCTCTGCAATTAAAATCATGCACCTCTTGATCCAACTGTTCTCATCCATTCTCTCCACATGTCTTATCCACCTCAACCTCCCCTTATGCAAAACCAAGCAAAACCTCACCAATACTATCAATACCAAGCCACCCTCTTACACATCCACCTCACCATTCTATACTTCACCTCAATCAAGCCTGTGTATGTCATCCTCTTTAACTTGCCATATTTTACTACCATACAAATATACATCACACCTGTCAAAGCTAGATGCATACTTCTCTCCTTTCTTTGTGGAGAACGTCCTCTTGATCTTAATAAAGGAAGCAACGACCTTAAACTTCTTCCAGCCACATCTGACTCTTGTAATTGAGAAAACTTCAGCACCGCCTCCAACACTGATCAAGTCACCCTGGTAATGGAACACATCAACGCAACCCAAGTACATATCCCCAGTGTTGAGTTTCTCCAGCCTAGCTAAGATCACATAATTACCTACACATAAGCCACACTTAAGAGACAGTAATATCCTGCAGTTTGCCATGTACTCCACCTTCCACACTCACTGCACATTACTGAGTTGTCCATTTTCCACCACAGGTCCTTCACCCAGGCCAGTAATCAATACCTTTGTTTTCACCACATTCACTCTCATGCCTCTTTTTACTTCATTCCATCTTACCATCTCTTATATTTCTCTTCTGCCTTTTTAGCACTATCTACTATCAACATACAACAACTACCAAGACAGACCAGTCCTTAAGTCCCATGATAGTGTCTCCAGCATCATGATAAATACAAGGCAACTCAAGACAGACCCTTATTTTCACCTCCAATTTCTCGCTTTATTTGCCATTTGCTCTCTCAGCAGATTTTGAGCCCTCATACAATGCCCTAAACATTAATACAATACTTTTCAACACCTACCTCCTCATTACCCTCTACGTTATCTCATGTGGTAAACTGTCAAATATCTTTAAGTCTACAAATACAAAGAACAATTTTCTCTCCTTTCCTACATATTTTTCTTGTACAGTACAGTAGTTGCTTGGTCATAAAAATTCCCTCTGTAGTCTCCCTACCTAGCATGAACCCAAACTTCATTCTGTTAATCTCCATTCTCCTATCATTTTCTCCATCACTCTTTCCACAACTTTCATAACCTAATCTAACAGCTTCAGGACTCTGCAGTTTCTGTAATAAATGCTTCACCTTTACCCTTATAAGTATTCACAGTCTCACTGTGAACTGGAACAGTACATTCGATCATAATTACATTAATTAATGGCATCACCAGTTACATATCAGTAGTCTGTTGCTTTCAGTATTTCTGCTAACAGCAGCCTTTCCATTCTTCATTTTGCCAATTGCTTTCTTCATCCATTTTCTTTCAAGCCATGGGCAAGTTCCCTGTATTAAGCTGTCCCTGTCCCACACAAAATCCTCATTCAATTATTGCAATGTGTTTAGTTTTTTGCAATGCTATTGTAAGAAATAAATTCAAACAAGCCTCTCAGTTGTATTTTATATATACAGTATTTATAAATATTCCGTGCTTTTTCTGATAGATTATAAGTGTTTCTGTATGAACATAATATAACAAGGAACTAAACCCTTCCAGTATATGAGGACCACCTGTAACCCGTGTCTTATGATGACATGCCCAATAAACAAGGATACAAGGTATACAGTAAGTCCTCGTTAACATTGTCTCAGACGACGTCGCTACTCTTTAGATACCCATGATTCAGACAACGTCCCGACCAATTCGCTATAACGTAGTCACCCAACAAGGACTACTTTGTATGGCGCATCACCCTCTCTCATCTTAGCTCACTACGCTCTCTCGCAGAGCGTCCCCTGGTCGTCTTCTCTCAACTCCAACCAACAACGTCGGCTAGAGAAGGTACAGAAAAGGGCCTGCAGAATCATGCTCGGCGCAGAATACTCCGGCTACATCAACTCTCTCTCCACCCTGGAAATGCCATCCCTCAGTGACCTCCACCACCAAGCACTGGAAAGGTTTGGCAGCCAACTAATGCACCACCCTCGTCATCGCCACCTCCTGCCACTGGCAGCCCCCCACCCAACTCATGCAGTTCGCCACTACAACAAAATTCAGCCCATAAGAACCCGCACCGATAGATATAAGAACAGCACCATCCCATCTATTGTTAAAATAATAAACAACTCCTGATTTATGTACTGTACAGCCCTGTAAATGTATTCAATGCATATTATATCATTATGTCTAAATCAAATGTAAGTTTGTATATTTTCAGCCACTGGCTGCAAATCTATTAATAAAACGTTTATTATTATTATTAGTATGTGTTTTGGCTCTAAATACAGTACTGTAACCATTCGAAATGGCTACCAAGCGCCCATCAAGTGTTAGTGATGCTAGTGTTGTGAAGAAGCAATGCAAGACCATTAGCCTTGCTACGAAATTGGAGGTTTTAAACCTCCGGGTCTCAGTGACTCGCCACCCTCCTCCTCACCACACACTCGCTCCACCTCCGCCCATCAGGGAGTACAATACAAAATGATTTAGTTTACTTATCTTTTGGGATGTATAATATAGTGTATTGTATAGTGTATAGTGTATAATAAAGCATTTTATCTATTTCTCATGGGTAAAATTGTTTCCGTTAACGTTATGTTTTTCAAGAGCGTAACCACAACATTAAGCGAGGACTTACTATATATATATTTTCTTACGAAATAAGACTGAATATGACAAATGTTATACCACATCTCAAGTGACTCACCAGAATCATCATCTTTGTACAACCCAACCCTTCAACATTTACACAAAAGCTCCATACATGCTCACCACTTATTAAGATAAAGAGTTAGTAGATTACTGAGACACTGAGCGAGTTTTATGAGTGATGTGGGAAAGTACAGTAGGTTTATCTTGCTAGTATAAGTGGTACTGTATGCTTAGTGTGGCACCCTGTCTGCTGTGTCTCTTTCTAAACCAGAAGGGAGGAGAAATCTGACCCTAAAAAAATCTATTGGCCTGATTTGTTATGGCATGAAGCTGTCCATTTTCAGAACCACTTTGCTCTTAGTACAGTACTGGAACTCAGCTGTGTCCTGTACCTGTGTTAGCTCTCCCTTATCATATGAAGCAGCCATGACCTCCCTCTCGTCCCCCCTCCCCCACACACTATGTTACGTCACCACACAATCTTACAGGCCTACTTCTCCCGCCCCTTCCCTTCCAACACAATCAACTAGTACTTCACAAAACCCACACTCCCTTTATGGAAGAGAAATAGAGTTAATTAAATATTAAACAAATGCTTGACAAATTTCACTGAACCCCTTCATTATACAACACCACTTTTATTATTTTATGTGGCTAACACAGGACAATTTTATTCAGCACCGAGAGAAACCCCCTCGTATACCAGAGATTAACAAGCATACAGTTACCTCTTGTCTTGTTCTGTCTGGCACTATTTGGAAGTAAGGGGAAGAATTATTGTGAGGAAACCCTAAATTCCCTTTCCATCTCCTTAGTTTTTGAAATTAGAGCCCTGTTTGGAAATATTTGATGCTGCCATAACCAAATCCCACCTAATTGCCAGATACCCACAACAAATTTAGCGACTAAAATATTCATCTTCCATTACTGCACATGTAACATTGGTTCCCCAGCCACTAATAGAGATATTCTTGTGTACAGTATGGTATATAAAAGACCCAACTCAATCACCATTATGAAGCTACTGTTTGTTACATTACATCTTTCCCTACAATATTAACCCTTTAGATATACTACTGTATTTATTTGGACAGTTTTATGTCCCCAATTCACAAAAAATAAGATTGAAACGATGTCTTTTCAAGCAGTGCATAAAAATAACAATACCATTAATTTTTCTTATAGGGTACAATATACAGATCTAGATCATGAAAAACAAGTGATTTGTCATTTTTCTGCAGTTATTAGAGCGCACACTTCTCGCAGCATTCAAAATATGGAGCAACACCGGACCAAATTCATCAACAAAGTGTGAGGAACATACAGAACTTAAGAGAGTTAAATAAAAAAAGTAGCTTACACTGAACAGTAATGAAAATTTACTTACCTGTTCATTTGTCAGCTACACAGATACATCTTTATAATGTACAGTGGTAGAAAAAAATTAATTCAGCAGACAGGGAGGGAGGGAGGTGGTGGTGTATGTGGAGACTTGTCAACTTACTGTAGCATAAAGATGGTGATTTAAAAGTCTGTAATTTTCATTCCACACCACAAATTGATTTTTTTTTAGATTAATTGTGAGGCAGACACAGCTTAAACTCCCTCCCTGCCGAAGTGGTTTTGTCCACAACCGTACATCAACATAATATAATGAACAAATAACTACACCAATTTTGTCCTTACCTGCTAAATTGTCGAGCATGTAAGAGAGAAGCTTTAGTGTACCATTGGACTCTGAGTAGACAGCTTGAATCTCCATTGTAAGAGGGTTGCCTTTTAGGCCAATATTTTGCAGATTGAAAAGCTTGCCTATTTCATAAGGCAAAACACGCAATTGGTTATTGTTGAGCAGCAGTTCCCTGAGAAGGAAACAATGACATATAGTACCATACTCTTAAAATTATAATGCATACATACATCAATGTTTCACCTGAAAAAAGTAGGCAGACAATAAGACCTCTCAATAGCAGGCTAACTGTTGGAAATATCTCAGTGGGCCATATAAATCATCAACACTGTGTAACAAGTTAGTAGAGTACTGTACAGTAAACCATCATACAAGTGAACTCTCTAAAGCTGTGATTTATATCAACCCAGATGACAAAATACAGTACTGTGCATACAAATTTATGCACACCAGCAAAGACCCTTGACCCTTTCTGTTAAGTGGGAGCCTTTGTAACTGCCATATCCTTGCTAAGAATGAGGTATTAAGAAAGGATTCTCTAATTTTCATGTGATTCAATTATTAGTTTTCAGTCACAATTCCAACCTAACCTAACTTGAGACTTGGAGGCTAAAGAAAGTGGGGCTACAGTGACAGATGATAGGTAACTAGGGAAGAGTGGATTATGCAAATGATTGATAAGAGAGCAAGGCAAGGACGCTGCAGCAGCACGAGGGAATCAATGACAGCAAAGAATGAGTGTGTGTTTGGATCTTGAGAGAGAGAGAACAATTCACTCTACATAATGCTACAAACAGCCACTATTAATGGCCACCAACTACCACATATTAATACCACATCCATCAACAAGGTCATCTCCGAGAATTTTTTTTTTATTATCGCCGGAAGAATCTCCACCTCAGCTTATTTCACCTAAAGATTAACCACCCTAGAGCTATTTGGGAGGACGAGGATAGGATAGCGTTAGTGTGGTTAGGGTAGGTTAGGTTAGGATCAGTTAAGACAGGTTAGGTTCAGTTCAGTACAGATAAGATAGGGAAGGATAGAATAGGATAGGTTAGGATCAGTTAAGACAGGTTAGGTTCAGTTCAGTACAGATAAGATAGGGAAGGATAGAATAGGATAGGTTAGGATAGGACAGGTTAGGTAAATGTTAGCAGAGTTAATCAATAGGTGAATTAAGCTGGGGCAGAGATTCTTCAGGTGATCCTAAAATTTTATTGAATGGGTCCATGTTGTTGGGTCTAATGATAGCTGGTGACCTTTTATAGTGGTTGGGTTAGGTTAGGTTTGGTTACGTTAGGTTAGGTCGTTAGATTTGGTTAGGTTAAGATAATTTATGATGGGTTAGGTTAGGATAGTTTATGATGGGTCAGGTTAGGTTAGGTTACGTGGACAAAGTTACACATCAACGCACCTGAGACGTGTTAATTCGCCTATTTCAGCTGGGAGGCTGCGGATTTTGTTGCAAGATAAATCAAGATACATAAGATGTTCCAGTCGGGCAATTTCAGCAGGAATGCGAGACAGACAGTTGTCATTCAGGTACAGAGATGTTAGGTGCTGCAAGGACCATACAGCTGGACTTATGTTTCGAATATTTCCTGCAGAGAGAGAGAGAGAGAGAGAGAGAGAAAAAAAATTAGATACCGGATGCAGTATTATAAAAGCAACGCAGTACAGTAAGGGGTCAAAAGTTCGCTCCCTCCCAAACCAAAGCAGTATCGACCCCAAACGAGATAAAAGCAACACAACCGCAGCAGATGACAGTCAGGTTATAAGTCAGTTCAGAGGAGACTCGTTCCAGTGACTCAGTTTCACCGTGGGGAGCGAACTTTTGTCCCTGACTGAACCTGAGCTGAAGGTGTGGAATTTTAAGAGGTTAAAGGAAAAAAAATTATAAATATTGTGTGTAAGGCCCTACATCGACCTTTTTCTTGGTACTTCATGGCTGTCAGTGTCCTCTCGTGACAGCCAGTGCGACCTGTTATAATACTCTCATCGTTATATCATTCACATCCATACTGGTTTATCCACGATTCCTCACCAAACTACAAACATTCCATGGGACCAACACCATCTCAGTCACACCCTTGCTCTAATTTTCACCTGCAGTGTGTCTAGCTTCTACTGAGCTACTCCATCCATCCATACAGTACACTCATTTCTTCACCCAACCTTCAACCAGTCTCAGAATACAACTAAATAGTATGAATATTTCCTCCATTAATGTTTCCACCACTCCTGTTTCTATATCTTATCAACACGGTTCCTTTATATTTTTCTATATTTCATTAATTATTTCATTATCTACATATAAATTATCACTCAACACTTAAATACAATATGATAATTTTCCCACTAGATAGACACCAACTTTATTAAATGGTCCCACAGCCATGACTGCCCATTAGGGACAGAGTGGCTACATAACACATTACGGTGCAGTACAGGGCAGTAGGTATATAAGCACATTATATGAGAAGGTATCACACTCGACCATCCTTTCTTCCCCGGGGTTGGCACAGGACCAAACCAGTAACCCTTGTGGCAGGAGGTGAGCTGCTTCCACTTGGCCTCTGCACCATTTATTAATAAGAAAGTTTCTTTCTGATATATGACTGAATCATACACTCATAAAAAAAAAAAAAATACTATAACCTGTTCCACTGACAGTCAACCCAACTGCCACAGTATGGTAGAAAACACAATTTCTAGTAAGTCAACCAGCCTTCTTATCCAGCTAAATCCAGAATTGTATCTGGATCTGATGGCTCTTTCAAAAGGTGAGTGAGGAGTCATTCAGCCATAGTCTTACAACAAACATAAGGATCATTCCTCCATCTTCAGTAATAAACTGTAGAGGGTGAAGGAAGCCCAGAGGATGACAGCCATCATGTCTCACAATATAGGTATCCTGCAGGTATGATATAGCATATCTATAATTACCCCTCCACGTCTATGTTTGGAAATATACTGAACAACAGATAATGCACATGTGAATTATACTGGATTTTTATTTTAGTTTCAGGTGACATAATGTATAACAACAGGTGAAATAGGTACAGTTACAGTAGTCTCTATGATTTCTGAAGACTAACACACTGTATACATAACTACAGAGAGAAGTAAGTCCTCCTCTGGTATGATTAGCTCCAAGCATATTATTACTGTATACATATAATATATGGGTAACCATTAGTTGCAGTCAAACAAACAATCTTCATACGAGAGTACAGTACACATCTTATGACAGGAAGAATAAAAAAAACCTTACATTAAAACTTCTCAAAGCCACAATCTTTCTGTGGGGCCATTCAGTTGGGTTGTGGGTGAGAGACAATATGAAGACCAACATTGATGGCTTCATGAGATTTAATGGCTTGGCTGCAGCTCTATGTAGGTTAATACTTCACCCAACACGTAGTACAGTACAGTATAGTATGCATTTACGCGGCTTTTGTTTACGCGGTGCCTTGTCAGAATGAAATGCTTAAATTACGCGGTAAATTTGGTCATTTACGCGGGAAGCGGCGCGGGCAGGGTGCAGGTCTCCCAGTCATCAAAACATGACCGAGTTCTTCACCCGCCACCCACCACAGCCGGCCCATGATAGTGATAGTGAGGATATGGACTTTGAGGGGTTTGACAAAGAGGCCCTGCAAGCCTCTGTGGTGGATAGTGATACAATTGATACAAGTGATACAGGTGAGGGCCAATAATCTGTCCTCTGCCTCGGAACCAACCTCCCATCCCCGTGTGCCCAGCCATCTTTTCTACTAACGTAAGTGTTAAAAAAACAAATATTATTGATATGTCTCTTAATTATTAATTGTGTGTGCATACCATCATAAAATTAAGATGTTATTTTGACTACAAGGTACGTACAGTATTGTGTCGGAAAAAGTGGAGTTTGGGGGTCGGCCCAGTCTCTATTTCAATTAATCCCATATGTTCTGTTACTTCATTTACGCGTTTCTCGTTTTACGCGGGCATCCACGGGTTCAATTGACAGCGTAAATGCAGACTCCACTGTATCTCATGGCACACAAAGAAGTAATGCACATTCTCCGTTCTCATGAAAACTACACCAAAGAACATAATTTTGTTAATAGGTCTACTACAGTACAGTACTGGACATATATGGTTACTATCATACACTGGTAATAAGCCGACATACCATGATTAAAAATTATATAACTGTTACTTAGACTGAAAAATATAGTCGGTTATGAGACCTACATGTGATGTCACAATCCAGTGCTTTCAAACTTAGCAATAAATATTTTCTCTACAAGACTTGGGAATGACAGGAATGTGTGACTTATACCGTACATGAGTTAGTTTTCAGTCACAAAAGGTTCAGGGGTTGACCCACATCTTAACCCTTCAAGAGTTAATGCTACAATATGTGAGTGTAGTTAAATTACCAGGTCATAAATTACAAGTGTTAATTAATATATAAAATGTGTCCCTTTCCAGTCCATCCTCATAGACCAGTAAAATAAAGGTGTTCACAGTATACTGTACTGTACAGTGTGTGACAAAGAACTATGAGCACAAGGTACATTATTGGGGCAAAACAATTCCATGAGGCAGAATTGAGTCTTAATATACAGTAAAGTGAAGTCCATAAGTCAACATGCATACAGCCAGGGTAGCCTGGTTGTAAGCTGTCTTGTAGGTCGATCAGGTGAATCCATAGTCAATAAAATAATGTACTGTATAGAAGTATAAATACATGTACCACATTCCTGCCATAAATATTACAATATAATTGGATAAATACAACATAGTAATATGAAAAAAGACAGTATTATCTGCTAACCTGTTATCTCAAGTTCTGGCCAGTAAGACTTTTTGCCAGAGCCAAACTCTTCTTGACCCATAATGGTGTGTGACCGCACCCGGTGCGGTTTTGATTCCTTTCCTTCCTTGGGAGTTCTTGACATATTTCACCCTGGAACAAAAACTGGTTCTGAATAATTTCATTCAACATTTATCTAAAACATCACAAAAGAGGAAAAAGGGATATTCCTAACACCTGACTCTTGGCGGTCACATCCCCTGCGGGAACGGACCACCATCAGTACCAGGCCAGCAGGCAGCAAGCTACGGTAATTCAATGATGAAGTAAAATGGAGGAATGATCTTCAAAACTGTAGAAGAATGAGTGACTCATACATAGCCAGACAAGTTCAAGAGGTGGAAATTAAGGCTCCCAGATTAACTTAATGACTTGGACACATACAGTAGACTTTGTGTGTAAACAAACATGACTCCGGGTTTTATTTCAATGGCATCACCACACTGTGGTTTGATTGGTCACTTTTGCCACAATTTAAAATATGGAAATTATTTGTATTTTGGGGACAACCTTCAATACTTAGGTGAGCACAAATTTAAGATTACAATGACACTTGAACAATAACAAACGTACAAGGAGTGGTTACTTTAGCCACACTATCACTTCAAGCTTCAAACATTTGGATTTCTTTTAATTATAAGATTATTATTGTACTGTATATCTACTGCATGTACAGTACTGTACTTTCACTTATGTTTCTTATTGGCTTACAAATTATATAACCATTGTGTACACCCAAAAAATCATAAAAAATAATGTTTTGTAACATTTCAATGACTTCGGGAAGTTTTTGATCACAGTAATATATAATGGAAGCCTGGGGGAAAAGGTGCATCATTTTGCCAAAGATTTTTCAGGAATGGTTTCCTTTCAGCAATAAGGGTCTACCTGTATTATCCCGTCTTTATCATCTCATGAAGATAAAGTATATCAATTAAACTTTGCCTGAATACCACTTTAATGTATACATATTTAATAATGAAAGTAATAAATCAATCTAGCAGTAAATGAATAGTACATTCCTGCAATGCACTACCTAGCAAGTGGTATACTGTACTTTAAGTGACCAGCTCTTTGCAACTGGTACACTGTGACTACTGTACAGTATACATCACTTAGCAAATAAAAACAATACACAATTGATAGAGTTTCCTTCTCCCTGTGGTTAACAAATAATAAGCCTAATAGTTAATGAGGTTACGTTCAAAAATTACAAACAGGTTGTGATACTTTACACGTCAGACTCCTGTGGGAAGGAACCACTTAAGGGAAACTTTCTATAGAAGAAAAATTGTTTCTACTTCATGAATAAAAAGAAAGGTATTATTTTAGTTTCGGTCACCCGGACAATCTTAGGAATTTAACCCCCCACCAGAAGGGGGGGTAGATATAGTCCCTGGGTTCTGTGGCGAGGTTAGGTCGAGTTGAAAATCTAAATACAGGGATGACCGAAACTAAAATTTTATCAAAAGAAATGCGTGGATCAACTGCAAATTTTTTGGGGGGTTTTCCCTCATTTTTATTTTTAACGTGCTTTTCCGTGACTCAGAGAGCTACCAGGGAAGCTACCATTACAGTATTTGTTTATCTGTCCACCAATAGACAAACATGTTTCATAGACATCAAGGCTTCCAATAAATAAACATTAAAAAAACTGGCAGCAGCTTATACAATATTATTTCTATAGCAGTAATAACAATACTAATACTGTACACCCCCCCCACCCCCAATAAAAGAGAAACTGTATTATAAATAGCTTGGCTATTTTACCTTGGTGGCATTTCATACCTAAACAGCCCAAACTTTATTGCCAAAACAACAATATAACTGATTTATTGTACAGTAAATACGATACTGTACACTAACCTATTTCTTTTTATTCATGATGTAAGACTTTTCTCTCCCTTCTATAGACAATTTCTATAGAGAGGTTCCTGCCAATGAATCAGTTGTCTTAAGTATTACCCTGGAAATAGCAAGCTACAATATTTAAGGATAATATAAAATACAAGTAACTAAAATGTCAATAGAAGTTAGGCATAAAAACATTAAAAAATATTTTGTTATATTGTCACATCCTAACATGAACCAATACTTAAACACAAGTTATAAAGGGTGATTCAGCAAAGAGAACATTATTATTTTTATTTTTTATTTTTTTATACGGGAATTAGCCCACCCGGACACAGGTCAAACGACCCACAACGGGGCCTGGGGGGGCGAAAAAAAAAAAAAAGAACAGAAAGAAATTGAAAATAGAGAAGAAAAAGGTTATACTGTACTGTGTTAATCTACACCACGAAGATGCCGGAAAACCATCTTTTTAAAGTGAGACAGATTGTATAAGTATGAAAACACAGAAGAAGGCAGAGCATTCCACAGTTTGGCTGTGTGAGGAAAGAAGGAGGTACTATTGGAGGATGAAATCCTTGGATACTTCTAAACCACAATGTCTCTTTGGTAAAATGTCAGATTCTGCATAGTGTCCGTGTTAAAATACATTTAAGATATTTCTGCAGGAAATTAAGGATAACCGAGATATCAATTTTTCAATATTATTAGATTTGCTCAGTCACAAGTGTGGCCATGATTTGTTTACATCTGGTACCGATCTTTCTTCTGATATTAGAAAAATGTTTTTCCTATTGTATTTGATGAGTTTTGAATGAATTTGATATTCATTTCCGCTGGTAATCACTCGGATTTGAGATACCCCCATCCCCCACCCAACAATCTTAACGGAAACAGTTGGATTTTTTCCGAGTAAATCACATAAATAAAATACCAACCAACAAACAAAACCTAACATAACATAACCAAGGGGGCTCTGCCCCCCATGAACCCCCCTTTGTTCATGCCCCCACATCTCGAACAAAGAACGTTGTTCGGTAATACAGTTTTCTAAAAAAAAAAAAAGAAAGAAAATGCTTCACCATTTTCTTCTGATTAAACTCAGCAATTGACTTAAAATAATCTTTATCACAATGTCGGCACAGCTCTTCCACCTGTTCAGCCATATCTGGGACTGAAAATTGGGGGAGGGTCAGACCTTCTCCGCCAGATGAAAACAAATCATGGTGACACTTGTGACTGAGCAAATCTAATAACATTGAAAAATTAATATCTCGGTTATCCTTAATTTCCGGCGGAAATATCATAGAAGAAAAATGTCTTAGGAAATGTCTAAACATTACGAAATACATATCAATAACAGCGAGAGAAAGACTGGTGTAAGAGTATAAATTCACCAAGTTTTCTTACCCCGAGAAAGTGACAAAAAGTTCACCATGAGGAATACTATAAAAGGCATAGGCAGTTTTTGTCATTTTCTGAAGGTACGAAAGTTTTTATCATCTATGGAGAAATTTCCTCATGTTGGTGGTGAGGTCAGACCATGGTTGGCAAGGATTACACAAACATTTACCCAACTTATTTTCCAGTTCTCTAGTTACATTATATTATCCATCCCTTTCCTGACCAAAAGTATTTAATAATATCAATAAAATTTATGATATACAATACAAAGGCAACACAAAATGGCCCGCATTAAAAGGCAAAAAGGGTCCAAAGTTTTAGATTGTCTACAATATTGATGCTATGCAATGTAGTGCCATGTTCTAAACTTATCTCAAAAGCATATAAGACAAGGTATTTTATTATTCATTATGAAATTGTATAAAAAAAAGCCTACGTGTATGTCTCTACAGCCTGGAGGTAGAAACTTTGCAGGTACTGTACTTCCTCATCACTGTTTCACGCACACAGCACCAGAGACAAGCCTGGACTGTATCAACCATTTTTTCACACCACTTTAGCTTATCTTTAAATTACCAACCACCATCATGAACTCGAACTCGTTAGGAAGCTTCAAATATAGGTTGGATACAGATACGAGGAGTGATAAGGGTTGGGTGCAAACGGGGCTGCCTAGTATGGACCAATAGGCTCACTACAGTTTCCTCCAGTCTTATGTTCTTAGGTAAGTTGTGTATCATCATTATTGAACACAGAAACACCAGGTAAAAGCGGCAGAATATCCATATCTGCATTACCATTTCAGCCTATAATTCCATCCTTCAACACTGTTTGGAGTGGACAACCATAAAACACCCAAGACTCGGCAGTTTGCAGTCCTTGTATCTGGGACAAGCAAAACTCGAAGTAAAACACCATTTCTTTTATAAAATAAAGAGCAATTGAAAAGTATAAAGAAAAATCTAGAGCATTTTGTCATGTTTTTGGGTGGTTTTGGTGGGCGAGTGGTACCCTGACCTCACTTAAAGGTACCACCACAGACAACTTATTTACACTCGACATCATCAACCTACAAGTGGTAAAAAGGTTATTTTCTATATATTTACGCAAAGTATCATTCACAGGTAGTACTGGCGGGAGAAACTTGCACTAAACCAGAGGCAACACAGGTGAGGTACGGGAAGCAAAGGTGAAATCAGCTGATCATCAAATAACCTTCGTAAACATTCCCAGGTTATGGCCGAGCAGTCTGGCCTGTGCACTCATCTCTTTTACCCCATCTTCTCCTTATTTCCCCTCCTCAAACTTTACTGCTTCATACTACGGGAGGTTATAGTTACCTGCATTTAATATAGGGTCAGTTTCAACTGAAAATTCAAGCTGAAATATCCAACTTTCTATTGAGTTTCTGTGTCCTTCTCTCAAACACTGGAGAAACAAACAAACATGGAGGCTGACTGAGGACGGCCTATGATTGGTCAGCGGCGCCGCCATATTGGCGCGCACCTTCCCGCCACCTACTCAAATTACTCAACTATTTTGTTGAAAATCTCCCTTATGGAAGCTACATCACTAAGATTGAATTTAAAGAGTACTGACTTCCTTCATCATTACCAATATTGTTATTTAGTAACATCAAATACAACTCTATTACTACCCCCAACGCTCAGAAGCCCACTTACCTGTCACCTTCAGTTTAATATATTTTCGTCTTAATTACTATAAACATAATCAACTATGAGCAGGATATGAAATCTAAACAGACAAGATATAATAAAACTGATTTTCATAAAGCGAAAATGCGGAATATATAATTAATGTGGGCAACAAGGTGAGAGGTGAGACAAGGTCACTAGCGAGGTCAACTCAACAGGTTTAAGCTACGCGTTATAATCTTAAGAAAAAACATGACACAAAATACGATACTTGTAATAACATTAAACAGATAAGGAAAGATTGTGTATAACTCGAAGGTCATATACACAACTTTTCCACCACATCTTTTACTTTTACTTTACTTTTATCCTCTTCTCCACTGATCGGCTCGTTAGCCGCTTGGGCGATCAGTCACGTCTTTGATTACTTTTCCTTTTCATTTATCCTCTTCACCAAAAGATCGACTCGCTAGCCGCCCGGGCGATCGGTCACGTCTTTGTCACGCACTGTTGGCAAATACTGGGCATGCACCGGCTCCTGAATGTACCTGAACCCGCTCCAGTGTTGGTCAAGTCTTGTCTTAAAAGAGCTCACACTCGGTGCCGTCACAACACTCTCTGGTAGATTGTTCCAAGAGTTTACAGCCCACACTCCGAAAAAGTTTGCCCTCACAGTTTTCTGGACTTGCGGCTTCTTCAATCTTGATCAGTCTTTGATCAGGTTGAGGCTGTTATCCTGCGTACTACTGATATGATCACTGATACCACTGGAAAATCAGTATACTAAACCACTTTACTTATTTTACATTATCCTCTTCATTACTTGGCAATTCAATAGTTTATTAACCGGTCGGATGGTCTGTTTGTTTTCTGTCACATACTGTTGGTAAGTACAGGGCTGCAAGGGCTCTTGAATGTATCTGATTATGTATGTCAGTATTGGTAGAGTCTGGACTGTACCCCTTCACTGCCGGGACGACACCTTTGACATTTGATTTGGCCAACACCAGAGGACTTTATTTAGCAAAGAGGGGAGTTTATATACAGGGGGTTAATGGAGCTCACAATTGGTGCTGTCAGAACGTTCTCTGGCGGGTTAAGAAGTTAGCTCTGAGCCTCTGGCAGTCTTCTGTACTGTACCGACAGCGTCTTTCATATGAGGCAATGACCTCTAGTAGGGCGGCCATCCGTTGACTCCAGATTAATTGATAAGTACATTTGACTTTGTGGTACTTATTTAATAGTCCACTGTCTTCCATAGTACAAACTGAAGACGTTCTAATCTCTCCATAGGTGAGGTGTATGAATGCCACAACCAATCGGTTGCTCTCATGTACTCGGTATATCCTGGAGACCAAACAGAATTACAGTACAGCAGTACTCCAAGTGAAAGAGCACTACTTTCTGGAAAAGCCTACGAGACGAAATTTGAAAATTTCACTTTGTTATCAACATAATTCAGATGAGAAAATGACCACTCCTGTAATGCTTCACAGCCCATTATATTCTTAATTTCCTTGAAAACTTTGCGTCGTTTGCAACCATTTGGACGAGAGAATGATGAGTATTTGACATATCATAATATGAAGCAAAAGACCAACATCAGTCCTGTGACATCCCACTTGTCGCAGGTACTGCACACATGACGATTTTGTGCCATCAACAAACATTACTTATGATGAGAAAGAAAGTCTTCAATCCAAGCTAGAACATTTTCGCGAATTTCATACTCTCCCAACTTAATTCTCAGCCGTCCGTAAGAGCATTAGATAAGATTTGTTTGGACGAAGATTTCCTTCCAGTAGGCTGGAATGGAACTGCCATACTAATTTTACCCCAAGCAAACAGTTTCTTTTCCAATTAATCAGTACTTGGAAATACATCCAAAGCACGAAAAACTAAACAAACTTTGTCACAGGAGAGTGGACATACGTAAAAACCTCACAATTGACTTGAGACTGAACGTAAATCTTACTAATGTAGAAGAGAATAAATCTAGGCCCACTAGGCTTATATTTTACGATTAAATATTAAACAACAACTATTCACAAGAAACTATTGGAATTTTATACGCTATTATCTCTTGTTGGTATTATTGCTCTGATGACAAATACAGGGCAATTACGATCTCTAAACTGTACCTGAATATGCGCCAGCCAGTGTTGGTCAAGTTTGTCTTTAAATGAGCTCAAACTCGGTGCTGTCACAACACTCTTGGCAGGTTACACCAACAGCTGACAACTCTCACTCCAAAGAAGTTCGCCCTGACAGTGTTCTGTACTTGAGGCTTCTTTACGTTGAGGCGGCGACCTCAAGTGGGGCGGACATCCGCTAGCTCCAGATAGGAACACTTGACTGAGTAATGTCCTTGCAGGTGCCTGTAAACCGGTATTAAATCACTCCTTGCCCTTTTATAGACTATATTATAAACTATACTCTGTTCTCTCCAAAAATCTTGCAACTGTTCCAAATAAAAGGAAGCCCGCGTCACGCCAGGAGAATATGAGCTGGGAGGGGTGGAGGGGGGGGGGGGGATAAAGCTGGACGCTGCTGATTGTTCTTTACTTTCTCCTATTCAATCAGTATGTATTATATGCTAATATTTACTTTTACAGCTTTGGATATCATTCTAGGTGTCATCACTTAATTGTTAATATTACTTGCAATTGCCGAATATAAAGAAAATATATTAAATAATGACGAGCTCTATAGTTTAACCCACCGCATCTCATTCCGCCAGCCAATTGGTTACAAGTTACAAAGTTCAGGTAGACGGACTACAGTAACGGTATAGGCAGTTGAAGGCAATCATATCTTCTCTTGGGACAGGAGATGCCTACAGGAATAGTCTGGTAGCCCTCCTTTGAACGTTCTCCATCAACTGGCAGTCTTTAATCTCAGGAACCAAACTGCATGGCGGTACTCTAAAGTGGTGGAGCAGCTCATTGCTGAAAAGCTGCATGAGGAACTGTTACGCAACATTAAGTGTGGGATACTGATACTGGACCACTTAACAATACAGATTATATTTAACTATATTATTATATTTCATAAATTACTATTTTCAATACTGACTCAGCAGATACTAGGATACAGTGTGGGGTACGTGATATTTTGTTCGCACTCAGGATGGGATGGAGAAAGGAAACTCACAATGTGCTCTCTGTATACATGTTGTATTGGATGTACAGTGCAGCTTGGTGCTGGGAAGTGGCAGTGTGGTTACAAGCGTTGGGTAGAAAGAGCTGGTTGGTGAGGGTGCTCAGAGGAGGACCAGCTTGTGGGTCGCCATGCTCGCCGGCGGGAGCAAGGGCCGCCAGGCAGCGGCGTTGGAGGTGGTGTTGCTTGCTGCGGCTGTAGCTAGAAGAAGGGGTAGGTCACCACGAGGTCAGGTCTTATATAGCGGAGGTAGGGGTGGCTTAATAGTTGACCTCCGTCATGTAAGGCGGAGCTGGTTGACCTAGACCACGACGCATACACTGGGGAATTCGCGGGGTCGGCTATTCAGCGACAAGCGTTTGTAGGGGAGGAATCCACTACAATAGGACTTAAATATATCTACTGTATATTGTACAGTACATACTGGTAGCCGGTTTGTACAGAACTTGTAGATTTTCCTTTTTTTTTTTTACTGTTTCTCTTTTCCTGTTTTTTTTATTTTCGTTTCTTACTTTTTCTATCTTATTCCTCTCACTGTTCTTCATATTATTTTCTTTTTCTTCCCATTCTTCTGTTCCTCACTGTCTTTTCCAGGATATTTTAACTATTTCTTTATTCTATGTAAGAAAATTCATGCAACAACATTTTACTCAAGAGTAAACATGATGAGCAGGACTCATTCAGGTCTATCTTGGTGACTACTGTAGGAGCCGGATTCACTAAGGCATGAGAACGTGCAGTGGATTCCTCCCCTACAAACGCTGTTTGTTGCTGAGTAGCCAATCCCGCGAATTTCCCAGTGTATGCCTCGTGGTCTAGGTCAACCAGCGCCGCCTTACATGACGGAGGTCAACTATTAAGCCACGCCTACCTCCGCTATATAAGACCTGACCTCGTGGTGACCTACCCCTTCTTCTAGCTACAGCCGCAGCAAGCAACACCTCCTCTGAGCACCCTCACCAACCAGCTCTCCCTACTCACGCTTGTAACCACACTGCCACTTCCCAGCACCAAGCTGCACTGTACATCCAATACAATATGTATACAGAGAGCACATTGTGAGTTTCCTTTCTCCATCCCATCCCGAGTAAGAACAAACAACCCATCACCCCACAAACGCAGAAAACTACGCTGAATATCATAGCTAGTAAAGTGAATCATTTGATCGAGAAATATATACCCAAGACCAAACCCAGTGCCTCTAGGAATACAAGGAGACCCCCCACACATGAGCCATGCGGAGGTCGACAAAGTTAAGAAGAAAACCCAGAAATTCAAGACGTGGGTTGGGTCAAACGATGAGCAAGACAGGAGGATGTATGCAAGAGCCAGAAACCAAGCAAAGTCAGAGTGAAGAAGCGCTGAAAAGGAGTTCCAGAGGCTGGTCGCAAGCAAAGTCAAGTCAAACCCAAAGGCGTTTTACCGCTATGCAAAGTCGAAATTAAAAACGCGAGTAGGAGTATCAGACCTGAGGGTTGAAGATGGTAGTTACGCAGATTCTGACCAGGATAAAGCT